ATTTAAATGCTGGAAATGAACTTAGAAATCATCAAGCCAAGGGGCAGGCAAGCTGCTTTTACCAGACAAATCCATTGGATAGTTCTTGCCTGGAACAGTGGGTCAAAAGGAGGCTACGATGAGAAGGATTTGAAGATGCTGAGAAGGGAAGGAAAAAACAAGACAAAATAGTGACAGCTGCCCAAGGCAGGGCAAGTTGATAAGGGCGTGGGGCAGGGGGTGGTTTTCAACACAGGTCAGCCAACTTCTACATATCTGCCATTGCTCCGCAAGTGTAATATGCTCACTAAACTCATCTAATTCTCAGGGCCCAGAGTTACAAGTTCACTCTCCATGTATTGAGCTCAGTGCATAAGCACTCTCTCAGCTTCCTTCATTACAGGTCATCCAACTACCCGACATTTCTCATACAATATAAAGTTAGCCCATTAGCGCAATCACACCCCATGATATACTATATGTATTTTACAAATTAGAGTATTTGTTCTATACCTTAATTAGAACAAGACAGTGTAACTGCAAGTGTATATATAGGATGAAAAGAATCGCATGAAAGAAGAGAGAATTAAGTAGAGAAGAAAATGTCTGAGCAAAGTTCATGCCGAAATACTGATTTGCATTACTTTTTGATATGCAACCCACATCTCAGAAATCCCACTAATAATGCTACTTCTAGTCTCTGATAAAGTTAATGCTTACAGTTTTGTCTCACATGGGCTTTCTACATAACCAAAGCATTTTATTACATGATATCAAGTAAATTTTTATTTGAGGTATCCTAAACAAAGTTTCACTTGAGTCAAAATTACTTCCTACAAAAACTATCTCATATGCTTCCTCCCATCCTTATCTGCTATAGTTCATTTTTAAATTAATGCTTGAGTTTAAAACATCTGTGATAACGGACTTCTCTAGTTTTTTTATTCATCCTCCAACACCAGCTGCCACAATTAAGTACCTACTTTCTTGAAATACTAAAGATAATTGTGTATCACTCAAGTATTTTACTTTTCAAAATATTTTAAGAATCTCAAGTATTTGGTACATTAAATATTTATGTATTTTAATGTAGTGAAAGTGGGGGTACATGGGGGTTTATTATGTGTGTGTGTGTGTGTGTGTGTGTAAATATGTATTGCCCCAGGAGATTCTGCACTAGTATGTTTGTGATGTCCCCCAAAACCCCCAAACTTTCAGAGCTCCACCAGTGATTCTATTATTTATTTCTTGCCTGAAAACCACAGAAGTAGTGTATTTCAAACTGCTTCCAATATGCATGCCACTATTTAAAGTATGCCCCCCAAAAGAAAATAATCTGGGCCATTAATTGTAAATTCTAATTCCAGAAAGTTTTGTTGGATCAAAGTACCTTGCTTTTAAATTTCCTATTGTAAACCACAGTAACCTGATTTTTTTCTTCAAAAGTAAAAAATATAACTATCAACTTAAGTTATAGTTTAAAAGATGTTATATAAAACCACAGAATCAATTAAAACATTTATAATTCTCTGCCACACTACAGTATTTATGATTACTCATGTCATTTTTATTTTGCTTATCTTAAAAATATAAAGATACTGCTCTCCTCTTCTATATTATACAAAATATTTAAAAAGAAAAATGTTAGTTTATTTTCTTTGAAAGAGTTAAAAGCCCTGAAAACATGTTATTAATATAGCACCCAATAAAGTAATAATGAAGAAGGCACATAAGGTATAATAAAATTTAATTGAATATTAAAATTTTGTTTTTCATTAAAGGTTGTGCCCATCTAAAATACATGCATAAAGTTCAGTAATGAATACCGCATTTCTTTGATTCTAAGATACTTTTTATATTTTAACATTTCTGAATTGAGTCTTATAATCAGTGACATGTTATATTGGAAGCATTTATTTTATTCCGAATGGTGCTTCTTACAATCAATGAAAAATGGCACCTTAGACCTGATGAACTGTTTATAAAAAATGCTTTTTCCAATTAAAAGAGCAACTTTTTCTTTTTAAATGTAACACAATTGCCCCACACTCCAAACAACCCTAAATGTAGAGCTCCATAAACTATAATCTTTGATACGAGTGAAAAATGGCCAATAAATTTAATGAAGCAACTAAATTATCAGGACAAAAGAAATGACTCTAGTAAAAATATAATAACTTAAATAAGTAACAAATTTTACCAATGAATTATTATATAATTTCCAGAGGTTTAAGCAAGTAATTTTATACTATGCGATCTTCCTGTTTTCTAAGTATTTGTCTGCCCTATGTGTAGACATAAAAATTAGAATAAAGGTGCGTTCCACCTATAATATGCTGCAGATAAAGACTACTTTGCTGTAAAATAAGTTTCTACCTACCATACAAAAGATCAAAGTACAGTATATACATTTATGCTAAGGACAGAGCCAATGTTTAATGAAATGTTTAAAGACATAAAAACTATTTAAATATTAATGTCTATTAATACTGCAGGCTACTGTTACTGCAGAAAGTCATATCATACTCTCTCTAACAATCACAAATCAACATTATGGCGTATAATGCCGATATTGCCTGTAGCACTTTAATCATTTTATTAAAGTAAAGTGGTTAGGTTACTCCTTGTAAATTTCTAGTTGCCAGCATTCTAGTGACAGCACTGTGACCAAAAGCATCGAAAGTGTGATAGGTCCTATGTCAAACTTATCAAAGACAATTAACTCTTCTGTGCATCATTTTTTAAGAAAATTGAACATAAATATCAATTTTGAAAATTCAGTACGAAAATGATTAGTATCCTTTCACTTAAATATTCAACAAAACAAGATCACTGTGAGAGTAAGTACACAATTTTTTTTCAGCTACATTAAGAGCGTCACACATTTCAAGATAGGTTTCTAGATTCTGTACTGACAAATGACGAGGAAACTTGCACCACCACAATCTTCCAGCCAGTGTAATACCTGCACATGTCTTGTTTTTAAGTTTGCACATGAAGGCCCAACAGCAATTTGAAAAGTCTGGGATTAGAAGCCAGTGAAAAGTCTCACATTCTTTCCTATTACCTATTCTAAGTGCATGTCATTTAATATTAATAATGGTAAATGCAACTAAAGGAGTCTGAGAGACACTCCAGTCAATGTAATTTCCTTGAAGACAAGGCAAATCTTTCCCAAACATTAAAATTTTGTGCCTTTGTCACAGTTTTCCCTGTTGGAAACCAATTCAAATTATTAAACTGAACTGAGTTACCTTAAAAATAAACACCAAATTCCCCCTCTCAACCACTTTTCCAAATAACAAAATAAAGAATGTACTATTTCCTTTTCAGAATCTGTAAGAAGAAAAGACTTTCTTTTTGGCCAGGAACCGTAAAGACCTATAGCTCTCTAGGTCATCAAACACAGTTAGCAAAAACATCCAATTTTAAATAGCTGGTATGATCTTATCACGGGGCTGGGGTTATTTTTGACAAACCTAACTTAAGACTTCTACATAAATAGAGCAAATGATGAATTGTTGGGAATGCACAGGAAACTAGGACCAAATGAAAGCTATCATTAGAAATGAAAAAACACCAATGGTTTTATACATATGTGTATACATACGTAAAACCCAAAGGAGACACAAACAATAAATAAATGAAAACGAAAACAAAAATAAATTAACAGAAACCAAGACCAAATTTTTCTGCTACTCAGTTTACCTTGGAGATTAATCTGAACAGTGTTACCCAGAGCCTGCAGAACACACAACAGACACTTTGTTCCTGGTATACAAAGTAATATTTTTAAATCCATCAACAACACTCTATATTTTGTGCCATTAAGATACTCACGTCAGGCAAGTGGCCAGGAAGTACTTTAGTACTAGCACTATCTATGCAGAATAGTGAAACAACACAATGCAAGCAAGCATTTATATGAAATGTGGGCCTATGCTAAATCTGGCTTCATGATTAATTACTTATTTTTTAAATTAGCAAACCGCCAATGTATTTCTTTATAGTATTTATTTTCCCCTTCATAAAGGCTAAGAGCTGTAACTATGAGCAATGTCAAATTTATCTAATTCTATTCAGTTCTTAAAAAGTATTTTATTATCTAAACTATCAACATCTATATTTCTCTGTATGTGCATGAATATAGACATACAGAGAAACAAAATAACCTATGACTCACACAATAAATATACACAGATTTTATATACAAACTAATGAGATTGCATGATTTTTATATTAAAGTACATGCTTTTCCACCACAGTTCTTCATTGTTATTAGGAGTAAGAGAAACCTTTTGCAACTAAGCACATGCAGCTAACGATTCAGGGTTTTAAGAATTTGTAGGTTAAAAAAATACAATTCCTAGAACACTGTTATCAAACAAATAAGTTTTATTGGCATCTAAAAACAAAATTCACCCAACATTGAAACGTACTTTAATATTTATGTTGTTGTTTTCTTTTTACTCACTGCAGTATGAGGAACAAATCACAAACACTTACTTTGGAGAAACAGAGACCATAGTGTATGTAGATTTTACAAAATCACTTTTTAAAATCTCTGTATTGTGCTCCTCAAATACCTAGAGCCAGTCTTTGCAGAAAATATCACAGCTTTGTCTATTACCTTAAAATTCTGCAGCAGCTTAAAGATATGGATAAGATACACCACGGTTTGCTATTCTGAAATATATCTATTACCATATACAACCTAATAGTAGTATCTAAAAAATCCTTTCTTCCATAGGAAGTCTCTGACAAGCTGTTATTCATTTCCTTGAAGTTAAAAGAATCTGGGGGCAACATTTATATTTTATCAGAAAAATAAAAAATGTTTACCTATCATGTTCATATTAAGAACAATGTCTATACAAGTCAGTTGTACAATTATTTTAAGAGAAAAGTGAACATGAACATCAGATTAACTTAATTCTGGCAGACAAAAGTGAACAACTATGGTCCAGTCAGCCATTAATCTATTACAGAGAGATGACAACTTTACAAAAGGTATCTTTTACCTACTGAGTGATGATTATGTCCCCTCAGTTTCTGTGTTTTCTACCACTGGTTCACTTTCTACATCAGCAACTGTGTCACTCTTCTCCTTGTTTATTTCATTTGAAGATGTCAGTTTTTCATAAAGTTCAGGTTCATTCTGTACTGGTAAAGGTGGTGGTTGAGCATGTCTCTCAGCATTTTCACCATTAACCTGAGGCACATTATCACCTTTTCGTTGAGAAGTGGCCCCTTCAAAGAAATCAAAAACCCGAGCATGGGGAGGGGGGACCCAGGTGTTTTGAATTCTATCTCGTCCAAGACGATTTCCATTCATTTCTCTGCAGAAATCAAAATCTCTGTCATCCCTATCCCTCTGCCTCTCCCAGTGTCTTCTGCGGTCATCAAAATCTCTGTGAACTTCTTGAAATCCTCTGTTCCAAGGACCACTTCTGGGATCAAATCGATAGCTTCCAGACCGAAATCTCCCTCTTTCTTCATGTAAGCCTTTTGGACCAGCAAAGACAGGTAGAACCCGATGCTCTCTCTCATCAAAATCTCTATGCCCCCATGGCTTCTCTGGAGTAAAGCCAAAGTGGTCTCTTCGACCAAGATGATCCATGCCTGGCCTCACAAGATTCTCTCTAATATCTACAGGAGGTCTTACAAAATGATCCCTGCCATCTAATGGAGGCCTTCCAGGACCATCTCTGGGATCTACAGGCCGCCCAATCACATCCCTAACATCCACTGGGGGAGGTCTACTCATGCTTTCCCTGGTTTCTATAGGAGGAAACCTGTAATCTCTATCGCCTTCCTGTTGAATGTTATCATTTCCAAGCGGTATCCTTTTTTCTGGATTAGCAATATTGTCTATACTTTGCCTTCCAGGAATTAGAAAAGGTCTTTCTGGCTGACTAAAAATATCTCCTGGAGGAAAAGGACCACGGGGAGGTGGATGAAGAGCTGAATCAAGCATCGATGGGGGAGGGAGTCCTCGTTGGGGTGGAATTCCAGGCTGTAGCAAAGGAAATCTTGGTCCAGGTGCCTGCGGTATTAGTCCTGGACGAAGGTCTAACATTGGCATTACAGGCATCCTTTGATTAGAGAGATGTAAAGGGGGTAAATTTTGAGGCCCACCGGGTGGCTGTGTTCCCAAAGGTCCAGACGTATTTAGAACATTGGGTGGCTGTACTCCTATAAGTCCAGAATTGTTAGGGAGATTGGGGGGTAGTACTCCCATAAGTCCAGAATTACTCGAAACACCGGATGGTTGTATTCCCAAAATTCCAGAGTTATTTAGAATATTTGGTGGCTGGGCTCCAATAATCCCAGAACCACTGGAAACGTTAGATGGCCGGACTCCAAGCATTTCAGAATTACTTGGTGCATTTGGTCTTTGAACTCCAAGAATTCCAGAATTGTTTGTCATATTTGGCGGCTGTCCTCCTAAAATTGCAGAGCCGCTTGGAATATCATTTGGAATCACTAAAATGGAAAGGGGAGAAAAAACAAAAAACAAAAATTATTCTGGTATAAAAAGAAAACTAATGCTATAATTTCCAGCAGTTAGCTTAGAGTTAATCAGCTAAATTCAAAGTATACTAAATACTAAGAAAGAATTATAGCTAAGATTAATACCAGTTATAGTAAAATTTAAATATTAAACATGATCTTTAAGTTAACAAAAATGCCAGGTTTTATACTGATTTGCCACCTTTAAACCACAATTCTTTATATATATGCTAACCGTGGTGACAAAAAAAAAAAAAAGGACTTGCTGCTTTCAAACACCATATTTATTTGTAGACCTGGCTAAATAATACCTGTCATAAGTAAGTTATTTATACTTAGTATGTGTTCATTTTTATCGTTTTGTAGGTATTCATATTTTGTGCAATCTTATTTTGATAACACATTAAATCAGTCCCATTAAGCAAAAGAAAAAAATAAGTAGAGGGAATGAGGTCTCAATGGAAAGGAGTCAAAATCTATACTATCCTGAACAGAATAACAAATTTGTTTTTAATATAAATTTTAAAGGACAGTGATCTTTTTAAAAACTGCATTTCAATATTTGTGCATTAAACTGGTTACAAATGCATGGCACCTCGGAATTAAACACCACTATACAGAAGCAGTATTTATGATTTAATTATGTGTTTCTGGGGATTTTCATTTTAGTTTTTACCTGATCTGGTGTTTTCACCAGAAGAGATCTGGTGATCTATAAGATGAGGTACTTTTTCTTCAGGCTCTGCTTGTTTAGGGGGAGGATTAAAAACAGTTCCAGCTGGCAGAGTGGAAGGAGCAAGACTGCTGGCAACAGAACCACCTGGTAAAACAAGGCTACCAAATCCAACCTCTTTCACAGTTTCTGGAGTCATGGATAATGGCGGCTGCACCAAAGCTGTTTAAAGAGTGAGAGACTGTATTTCAGACTTAATTATCTCATCATTCATGTGCTAAGTTAAAATATTAACCATGAATAACAATGGCCTTGCCAAACTTTTAAATGACTCCCTATCCTCTCTCCCCAATTGTTTGGTATGACTGCTCAATTAACAACATACAGTAGGTCCTCACTTAAGACTGTCCGTAGGTTCTGTGACTTTAAAATGGTGTAACTAACCATAGGCTAGTTGATATAAACAAGTGTTAAGTTCCTAAGGATCTCATAAACATTGTTACCAAACAACAATGAGTGAAACAAAGTTACTTGAGGACCTTCCTATAGGAATTTTCTTCTGGTCCCTCTATTTCATTTATAATAAAAACTACATTCTTTCATAGCACCCCTGTATTACCTAGCACAGTGGCCGGCAAACTGCGGCTCGCGAGCCACATGCGGCTCTTTGGCCCCTTGAGTGTGGCTCTTCCTAAGCCTTAGGAGTACCCTAATTAAGTTAATAACAATGTACCTACCTATATAGTTTAAGTTTAAAAAATCTGGCTCTCAAAAGAAATGTCAATCGTTGTATTGTTGATATTTGGCTCTGTTGACTAATGAGTTTGCCGACCACTGACCTAGCACATTGTGTAATAACTGAGGCTTAAAATGACAAATGAGTCACCATAAAGATTAAAATGTTATTTTTTAATTAAAAAAATTTTTAGAAATATTTGCACAAAAATGTTTAGTAAAATAAGGACCAGTAATTTAAGAAAATCTCAGCAATACAAAAAAAATTCATAATTTTCCAAGGAAGCTAGCACATGTATCTCTGAATATATAGAAATGATTAGTGCAGGCTGGCAAATATGTATAAGAATGAATATCCACCCAATCCCCCTGAAATTAGAATGGGCTGGGGTTCTTATATTCACAACTTTTTGTAAAATGAGGTTAGGAGCTCATCAGATGGGAGGAGATAAAGTGGACTGCAAATAAAAAAGGTATAAACATTCCATTTAAAAGGATGTGTAGAAAACCCCCTAAATGTTTATATTATTTATATGTTAAAAAACAAATTAAAGGAATATAAAACCACAATCAAGCAATTAGAATTTTCAGCCCAATTTTTATCACAATACTATTAAATCATTTACTTGGGGATTTTAGGAACTGTGTTATCCTCATATTTAGCTCTAAATGATCTGGACAAACTGTTAGCACATAAGAAAGCTATAAAACCACCTGGGCTCACAAATGCAAATTTTAAGAATTAAATGAGATCAAGTGAGTAAATAGGAGAGTATCTGGAACACAGTGGTATTTCCTTTTCTCCATTATTTTTATCCCGGACTTTCCAAAATGAAGAAATTAAGAATAATTAAAAGGTAGGCTCTAGGATGAGTCTCTATGAATAGTGAATTCAGATATGGCTTCTGAGTGGGAGCAGGGTGGAATGGGTCAATGGGGGGAAAGGCGGGACATCTGTAATACTTTCAACAATAAAGATAAATTTAAAAAAATTTTTTCCCAGCCCGGCAAGTGTAGCTCAGTGGTTGATCATCAACCCATGAACAAAGAGGTCAAAAGTTCGATTCCCAGTCAAGGCACATGCCTGAATTTCAGGCTTGAACCCCAGTTTCTCTATCCCTCTTCCTTCCTCTCTTAAAAAAAATCCACAAAAAACAAACAAACAAACAAAAAAACCAATAAAAATATTTACATTATTTTTAAAAAACTTATCAGGAAGACTAAACAATTCTTCCTACTTAACCAACCAACAATAACAAAAAAAGAAGAATCCTAATACGGTCTAAACACTAAAAGAGAGTTAAGAGTTTAAAAATATAAGAGAAATAGATATTATCAAAAGGAGAGCTCTCTACCATATACACTCTCTTTACAATAAAGTCCACCAGGCCATCATTGGTGGAAACTAAGAAGCTCTCAGAAACTGATGTAATCATCTCAAAAGATACAGAGGCAATATCAAAGGTCTTTCATTGTCAGAAATGGAGCAGTCTGCCCAAGGGGGATTCAGTGGTTGAGCATCAACCTATGAACCAAGAGGTCATGGTTCGATTCCTGGTCAGGGCACATGCTCAGATTGCAGGCTTGATCCCTGATAGGGGGTGTGCAGGAGGCAGCCAATCAGTGATTCTCATCATTGATGTTTCAATCACTTTCTTCCACCCACCCCCTTCCTCTCTAAAATCAATAAAAATATATTTTTGTAAAAAGAAAATGGAACTAAAATGCAAAGAGGAAAGTGAATGCAACTGCTTGGAAGCAAACATCCATAATCCATAAACACTTAAGAAAATGAGGAGAAAGTAGTGGGAGGGAAAGGGAGAGAAAGAGGAGGAGAAATAAGAGAAATCCTCTCCAGCTTCAACCATTGGATAGCACTGGAATTAATATAGAACTAACTCATTACTCTGAAAAAAAGGCATTTACAGGAAATAATTTAGCATCTACATGTACAACTGTATGTCAAGGTAACTAGATACACTTAGAATGATAAGAGGAAGTTTTTCTTTATAGAAAAATTCTAGTTAAGCAATATGCAAAGAATTATAAAATTCGAAATCACCACTTTGAAATGAATGAAAATTAGATTTAAGTAATAGTGATCAATGGATGGAAACCATAGGATACAAATTTGAGGGAAACGTTTTTAATCACCAGGCTCCAATACCTGAATGCTCTGATGCATCTTAACATCATTTAAAGTGGGAAAAGAAGGCACTGCATGGCTCCTGAGGTGATGCACCACACCTTTAAGGATTCTCACCAAAAAAGAAGCAAGCCTTTGGTGCTAAAAACTTCCTATTCATAGGAAATTCAAGGAGATAGAGGGACAAATTCAATACCATAAACAAAAAAAACCCAAATACATCATTTGGAATTTTGCATAGAGAAGATAACTGTTTCTTTAATCAATCAAATGTATCAAGAATTTAAAAAGAGCCCAGCTGGTGTGGCTCAGTGGTTGAGCATCAACCCATGACCAAGAGATCACCAGTTTGATTCCCGGTCAGGGCACAAACCCAGGTTTTGGGCTCAACCCCCAGTAAGGGGTGTGCAGGAGACAGCCAATTGATGTTTCTCTCTCACATTGATGTTTCTATCTCTCTATACCTCTCCCTTCCTCTCTCTAAAATCAATATAAACATATTTTTTAAAAAAAGAATTGAAAAAGAAAGGGAGGTTTGGGCAGTACTACTCTAGATTAAGATATTTAATACATACACACACCGAAATAAGATGTAGAGACCCTTCTTTGAATTTTGACTAAAATAAACCAATTATAAAAAGACATTTTGAGACAAGAAAGCCAATCTGAACATGGACTGACATATGATATTGTTAAATTTTTTAGAAATCATTTAACAACAACAAAAAATGTGTTTCTAAAAACTTTCATAATAAAAAAGAACAATACGTCAAAAGAATGAGAAACAACACATTAACACTCCATGAATTAAGAAAACCCTAAAACAGAAAACTCACATGTTGGTACTACTGGTGGAATAGTAGGCGGTGGTACAACAGGTGGTGGAACTGGAGGTGGCATAAAACCTACATGGGAAAAAAAAGACCGAAAATAAAATAGCATAAGAAAAGTTACTTCTTTTAAAGCAAAGATTTCAATAGCTATAAATCAAATTCTACATCCTTAAAAAAGCCTTTTATTACTACAATCTCATATTTGTGAATGTACTTTCCATTTTAAAAATTATTTTTATATATACTACCTTATTTGATCCTTAGTATAGAGAGTGCTAAAGCAATGCACAGAGGTCCTCATCAAGAGAAAGTTCTGTGACACTCTCTACAATGCTATCAAATTAAAGATTACAAGCCAGGCAACCTGTTTATATGTTAACATGGTGACTACCTGGGGAGTTAAACATTGCATTTCAAGCTGCTGATAACATTATATGCAACAATGTCATCTGTAAAAGGTGCTATTATATTTCTTTGATAAATATAATGTTTACCTACTAGATAAGGTATTTATTTTCCTTAATCTTGGATGTTACTATATTATGTTTTGAGCACTGAAATAAATCTCCAATATAATACTGGCTGTTTGATGATTTTCAATACTAAATGATCAAACTATAAACCTGTTTCCTTGAATTTTTAAAATACAGAGCTATCATTAAATTGAATTAAAAAACAGTTGCTGAAGATAAGAAAAAAAAAGATGTGATTTTCAACAAATAAATGCTCGACAATGACTTTATAAAGTCTGAGTGGTGTGGTTTTTGAAATAATCAGTTTATAATATCTTCTGAAAATAAATTTTAATCACAAATACTGAAAATTTTGACAAAACTGTCAAATACTTAAAATATACAAAAATAAAATTCTTATTAAAATCTGCATCAATTTCAAATTTACGTAGTAAACTGTAATTTTAAAACTTTATATCATAAGACAAACAAATTACAAGCATTTTCAGACAATGAATTCATTTTTTGGCCTTGTTAGTATTTTTTAGAAACTGTATTTAATAGCTAAGAGCTTAAATTACAAATATCGAAGTATAGTACCTTGTTTGTTAAAATAGACAAATAATTCTATATAAGCAATTACTTATATTTAATTAATATGTGTTATTTAAGTAATCTATAACTTTTACCTAGAAACACTGATTTCAAGAACTTTTGTTTATCAACAATTAGGTCAAAAATGCATTATGAATTCAATTAGCATTTTAAGATATTATTTCTAATGTCAAAATGGAAACCCTAATGATTTTTTGGAGAAAAATCTATATAATTTAATGCACACTTTCCAATGAATAATAACTATAAAGAACTAATATATAACAATTTCATCATAAATATTAAATTATTTTAAGAGCACTTCAATGATTTTAAAGGATTCCATTTCTTCTCTGTCAATGCTTCTTAACATGTGGTCCCCAACAAAAAGAGGCTGACCAGTGATTTGTGCTTTAACATACCTTCCCAGTGATTCCAACATGCTAATGTTTAAAAAATCACTGCACTATAGCCTTTTAACCTGGAAAAAGAAGTGATATTCTAGAGTTCCATTAATAAGACAAAAACTCCTTACCAGGAGGTGGTTGTGAAGGGTTAAAACTTGCTCGTAGAAAAGGAGGTGGAGGTATTGGACTGAATCCAGGAGGAGGAACCGGCATTGACACAGGAAATGCTGGTGGGACTAAACTAACTGTAGGCACAGCTGGTGCTACTGGAATCTTTGTGGATAGAAAATAAAAAGTCCATAAATCATTTTATCCATCTGCAATGATTACATCTTGGAACACCTAAAGGTAAATTATTTCTATTTCTTGTTTAGGAAGGTAACAAATACCATTATATTAAGCTGCTTTGTTCCTTTCCTTTTTAAATACTTGTAAAAGTCAGTCTACTTGGGGTAAAAGCAAGGCACTATTTCTCAACAGATAGTGTATGTGGAGATTGTGAAATCGATCTTATATTCAAGTGATATAAAGTAATGGCACCTATTTGAATAGTGAATATAAGGCTCAATTTTAAATTGCCATCTCCCAGTAAGTTTATAGTACCTAACTCTGCTATGCAACCTAGGAGGCATGTCAATAACAGCTTTAAAATTACTCCAATTTCTCATAAGTTTATCTTCTACTCCTAGCATAAATACCTTGTACTCATCCTAGGTACAATAATCCCCAAATATTTAACTGCATTATAGCCATACATCTCTTCTAAAATCCCTATTATATTAACAGTCTATTCAACATCTTAACTTTGTTGTCTAAAAGATACTTCATATGCACAAAACTTAACTTCCAATTGTCCTCCCCCCAAAAATGCTTTCCACAGTCTTTCCCATTCTCAGATAACAGTAACTCCATCTTTCCAATTTCTCAGACCAAAAACCTTCCCTCTGCTCTTTCTCACAACTCAAATCTAATTGTGCCATGAGGTTCCATTGGTGATAACATCAAAATACACCTAGCATCTGACTACTTCTCATTCCCTCCACTGCTATCAGTCTACTAGTCTAAGCCACCATCATCTCTCACTGGGATTGCTCTCACTGTCTTTTCACCGGTCTCCCTTGCTTTTATCAATGCCCACTAGTCTATTCTCAAAATAGTAGCCAGCACAATCCTTTAATACTTTAAGCCAGATCAAGTCACTTCTTCCTTCAAAATCCTCCAAAGGATCCACATCCCAGATTGAAAACCAAAGTCTTTCTAGAGGTGTCCTTTCTATACTAGTCTAGCCTACTTGCTATTCCTCGAACACACCAAGCATGAGCCTTTTCCTTGGATAGCCAAATGGTTATTATATAAGATTGTTGCATCTACCCAAGCTGATCATCCTTATACTATCTTTTTCCTTCCATAGTATCTCATGAACTTATTTTATATTTTCTGTCTCCCTTTTGGAGAACAAAAGCTCTATTAAGGGCAGGGATTTGTGGTTTGTTTTTTTTCAGTGATGTATCCTAATCTCAAGTGCCTAAAACAATAAATGCCACAGAGCAGGCAATCAGTAATCATCTGTTTTATAAATAAGTATTTAAATATGAATTAGATCATTTCTAAAAATTCTTCTTAAAAAAGTGTTTGTGTAAACTCTTATTTATTGCATTTTGGACAATTTCCTCCAGGTTTTAGAAAGTAAATACATGAGTAAAAACAGAAATGTAAAACAACACATTCAACAACAAAAACACCCAGCACTAACCTGTAACACAGCAACAGGTGGAGGAAAAACCTCTGCCTGGGTTGTGACCACTGTTTCCTTTTCAACAGGAGGTGGGCTCTGAGTTGTCTGGACCGTCTCTTTAACAGGTTCTGAGCTTTTCACAGTTTCCCATTCTAAATAAAATATTTGAAATTGATTTCCTCTAGATAAGTGCAACTTTAAATTTTATTTCTATGTATACACTTATTTCATGCTTGCCTAAGTCCTTCATCTACCTTGGCACATCTATCTTTAAGATGGGACCATAGCTATAGGTGATAATTTAGGTTTTGCCCAGATAAATCTAATTAGGACACTAAGGAGGAGTCCAAAGAAGCATGACACGAGATACAAATGAAAAACACTAAAATATTTGGTATAAAGAAAACACTTAGAAGGGATATAATACATATGTATCTCAAAGGCTGTCTGACATAAGAGGAACCAACCTATTCTATATTTTGTCACAAGGGAAAACCAACAAGAACTAACCCAATACCAAAAAATATTTCTGAAAATACAGCAATGCAAAAATAGAAAGGTCTAATGGTTCCTCCAATGATTCTCCATCTCCCTCAGAGTAAGGATCAAAGTCATTATAATGACTAATAAGACTTTACATGAGGTCATCCCTCTGTATCTCTCTGACTTCATCTCCTACTACGCACTCCTCACTTACTTTGCTCAAGCCATATTGGTCTCCTGATTTCTGAACAGGTTTTGCACTTGCTGTTCCTCTATACGGAATGCGTTCCCCAGATAGCTGCATATCTCACCCCTTCAACTATCACCCTCTCCGTTATAGCGCCTTCAACCGATAAAAATTGCAATAGCTCCACAACTAGACTGCCTATCTCCCCTTGATTTTTCTTCTTAAAACTTAGAAACATAGAAATACCGTATAGTTTATCTCTTTTGTTCATGATCTTTCCACTAGAACATGGGTGGGCAAACTCT